TGGGGGCGATATGCTGACTCTGTAAACCGCTTAGAGAGGGCTGAAAGCCCTATGAAGCGGTATGTAAGTCTAACTGCTATTGCTATTGCTATTTTCCCCTCTGTATATCCCTTAAAATATACAGGAACCCTGGCATCCAAAAAAGTTGCTCGCAAGCCCACATTGTCCACTGTAAATATTGCACAAGGAATTAAGTGGAGTAAGTGTTTGTTGAGAGTTTGGCTACAGATGACACCGGGCTGGTGCTCTGAGTTGGACGTTTCGCAAAGAGGCATCTCCAAAGTGCGGTGCATTCTGGGAACAAGCATCCCTTGAGGCAGGGGTGTGGCTGTTCCTGTGATAGGTGATGCCTTTGTTTTCTTTCCTGCAGGTGCTGCTGCTTCGGCTTCACTCATGACTCCCAAAGCCCCTCCCACCCCCAGCCCTGTTACTGTCACCACCAGCACAGTGGAAGGTGGGGGCGTGGGCTGCCCGCTGCCCACAGGCGCCGATCCGTTCCCTTTCCTGGCACAGGAACAAGCACTGCCGTTTGGGAATGCTCTACCTCCTGGGCTCTTCCCCCTGGGCTCCTTCCCCTTCTCGCTGACCTTGGGCCCAGAGACACCACTTCCCCCTCTTAACCTGCAGGAGGAGCCAGACGGACAGCCCTTGTTGCCTCTGGTGCTGCCCAGCCTGGATTTGCTACAACAGCCAAGTGGGCTCCTGGCATCACTGTTGGCGCTGCCAGAGGCGGCGTGTGAAGGGCAGAGGGAAGCGGCGACAACGGAGCCATTGTTGGAGCCCTTCGCCAGCTTGCCCGAAACTCTGCATCCCCTGCTCTTCCCAGCACTTTCCACCCCTTCAGCTGTCCTAGCTTTAAACTCGGCACTGTTGGCAACCGGCCTGGGCTCTTCTGACACAGGACCGAGCCCCACACAGGTAAGAAGTTTGCGCAAGGGGCCAGTTGCTTTTAGAAGTTTTTCATTTCATGGAGACGTGATAGGATCGGGCGGGAAGGGCACCAGTGTCCCTCGTTATGAGGATCTTGTGGGATTGGATCATAGGTTGAAGGCTATCTGAGGAACATTGAAAGGTTGGAAGGAATATAGTCGCTTTTTAGCAAAGCCTTCGCAAGATCTATCCAGCTACTATGGAGATAATACTGATCTGTTGATTTTATGTACTAAGAAAGTGTTATTCCAAGGAGACTTTGCGTTAAGGGTTATGAACTACTGTATTTTTCTGAGTATAAGACACACCTTTTTCCCTCAAAAAAGAGGCTGAAAATCTGGATGCGTCTTATAGACTGAATACAGCATTTTTTTGTCTCCAGAAATCCCACCCCCTTCACCGAAATGTCCGTGCAGAGCCTTTAGGAGGCTTTCAGAGTGCTCCTGGGGGCTGGGGAGGGCAGAAATGAGGGGAAAACAGTCTGTTTTTTGGGGGGGGCACCCCCCAGGAGCACTCTACAAGCCTCCTAAAGGCTATTTGTGTCCTTTTTGGGGGGGGGGAAACCGGGCCCTTTTCGGGACGTCTGCAGAGTGCAAAAACTTTTTTTTTAATTTGCCTCTTCAAAATCATGGTGCGTCTTATACTCTGAAAAATATGGGTAATTGTGGGATAATCAAAGAACTAATATTTAAAGTGCTCTGCACCCGCTTTAAATGAGCAACCGCTTTGAGTTCTCTCCTGAAATCATCTGCGGGGCTTGTCCCCATGGCGCTGCTCCTGTCTCAGACCTTTCCTGTCCTTCCATCCCAGACTGGCCTGGCTAGCACTCCTGTGGCACCTACCTCCACTAACACCATACCGACAACTACTGAGGGTACCCCCAGTGCCTCTGGGCGTCTGAATCCCATATTGCCTCAGCTTGTCAACCCGCTGCTGAGCACCACACTTCTGGGTGAGTTGATAGTCATCTGATGCCAAACTCCTGGGAAAGTGAAGGTATTAACACCACCACCCCCAAAAGATGTCCTATTGCTCTAATGCAGTGTTTCTCAAACTTGACGACTTTAAGTCCCCTTTCAATTCTGGGAGTTGAAGTCCACAGGACTTAAAGTCAGCAAGGTTGAGAAACACAGCTCTAATGTTTTGCTCTTCCCTTTCTCCAACCTGATTCTTCCTGGCAGGATATAATTGGAGTTATGCAGTAAGTCCTCGCCTATCAATCACAATTGAGACCAACAGCACTATTGCTAAATCGTGACCAACTTAGGATCTTCCTTCCCCTTGTTGTTAAGTGATTCAGCAGTCATTAAGTGAGGCGTCATGTGACCATGACTTGTGATTTTGCTTCTGGGTTCTCCCTTAACTCTGCTTGTCAGAAGCTGAATCACGTGACCATGAAGCACTGCAAGGGTCATAAACATACACCGATTGCGAAGTGCCTAAAACACGTGGCCATGGGTTGCTATAGTAGCAGGGTGAATCACTAGTAAAAAGGCTTGATTTAAATCAGCTCTATTAAATCATAATTTTTAAAGAGCAACTGTCATCTCTGTCCCACAATGGCTCCTCCTCTGACCCTTTGTTGACTCATTGACTCTCCCATTCACTTTAATGGGATGGCTGGTGATGCAACAGTGACACAACAAATTGAGGGACATGATAAGCAGCAGGTGAGCGGATGCCCACTAATAGGATGATGGATCTGAAATGACAGCTGCTCTTTAAATGTAAGGACTCACTCTTGCTGGTAGTTAGAATCTTTAATATTATCATTTGCAAACAAAATGAAGATTTCCTTTTTAGCTTGCAGAGCTTGGATTCATTGAATGAGATTACCAAAAATGTAAATATTGCAGAATATACAGCCTCGTGCTAAGATAATTAAGCTCCATTTCATGCTGAATAAACTAAATATATTAATGCATCTTAAACAGAAAACTATCTTTGGATAGATTTTTACTCCGAAAGCATTTTATTAAAATAAATTTGATTTTAAACAAAATCCAATTTAAAATTTAAAAATCCAGTTTTTTTTATTATTATTATTTAAAATCATAGATTTTTATCCACCCTGTAGAATAGTCATAAATGTGAGGATTTTTTAGGATTTTTTTAGGATTTTT